TTTTGTATTGAAGAAAGAAGGTGTGTGTATAAGAACTGCAAACAAACACCACACACATAATATCTCAGGTTATATATTTTCTTCCTCTATCATTCTGTCTCCCCAAAATCAGCTAGGAGTCAGGGAACACGTAAGGTTATGTGTTTTCTCTTGTCTCCAGAGGAGAACTTAGCCTTTTTTTTTAGACTATCTTGTATAATCTTGTATAATTCTCAGACTTTACATGCACACACAAATATCTTCAGCTAAATCACACTGCCTAAATATTAATTACACAAAGAATACTTTCCATGATCTAAATCTTACAGATCACTGTTCTGAAAAATCAGCAGGAATATTTTTATTCCTTGACACAAAGTCTAAGTGATTTTTTTCATTTATTTAGTCTTCTACCAGTGCCACCATAGGAAATTAAACTGAATGACGTCAAAACTAGGAAAGAGATATGAAGCTAAACCACGAGTTACCATAAAATGTTCACTTCCCTGAGTAAGCATTGGAGCCATAACAGATTTGCAGCTGCTCAGCACTTCTGAAAAATCCAATTACTTCTTCAAAAATGCAAATATGAATTTAAGAATCATTTAGAAACAGCTAAGAAAAGTACTGGTAATTTTGTAATGCTCTAAAGAGTAAAACACCTTCAGAGAAAAGGTCTTAAGAATGCCACATGAAAGTTCATCTTGTAAGGACATTCCTAATTAGCCTTTAATTGCAGATCAGATCGAGCCTATGTGGAGCAGCAGCTGTTCTAAGATACTGCATATGAAGTCCTGCACTTATTCCAACCCCACACTGGTTTGGAAGAACATTCCTACTTAGCTAAGAAACACAGAAAGAGGGCAAAAGCAACAGTTGTGAATGGCTATGGAACCATGTCAGAGGAAGTTCAGATGGGACCTTAGGAAAAGATTCTTGTCTAAGAAGGTGCCCAGTCACTGCAACAGGCTCTACAGGGAAGTTCAGGGAGCATCTGGATGATGCTCTGAGCCATATGGGTTAGTTTTAGGCAGTCCTGTGAGGAGTACAGTGTTTGTTGGGCTCTAAGATCCATATGGATTCCTGCCAACCTGAGATAGTCTAGGAGTTCTAATCAAAATACTCAGTAATCTAAGGGAAAAAAATCTGTCCCCTTCTTTACAGCAGATTCATTGCTATTGCCAAGTTGTAACACAGATTTTCAAAGCAAGTAATGCCTTTTAAGCCTGCATTTTCACACCTATCAACTCCATAAGCTGCACACATCCTCTCTGACATTTCAAAATTGCACTGCTTTTGCCTCACTATCTAAGCCCAAATTAGGTAAGTTAAGTAACCATGTTGAAGCATATATAACTCTATCAAGCCTACTGTGAAAGTAGAAAAAAAAGTTACTGAAGGGATTGCTTCATATTTATAAAAAAGGTTTAGAAAAGGAAGGTTGACCTAGGTCTTACTATGTGTTTGCAAAAATCAGATACCTGGACATACAAACTGCATATAAATAACTAGATAAGAAAAAAAAAAAGTTAAAAGCTGGAATATGCTTAAAAAATTATTTTCTTTTTTTATTAATTTTTGTACACAGGGACTTGACATCTTCTTTAAAATCTTCCTGTTAGATCCATCTCTATCCTGGGCAGGTTGAGGGAGAGCTGCCCAAAGAGACTGCTACAGAAATACTAATAATAAAATTTTAATTAGGGGAGCTAATGTACAAAGCTGTTAAGATTTAGAGCCCACATCTTTTGATACTCAGACTGCAGCCATCAGGGAGTATCTGCTCACTGGCCATTCTACAAACTGATCAGGTACTCCCTCCCTGCTGCTGCTGCCTAGGGCGTCTTGTTGGGTTTTTTACCTCTGAAGGCCAGATCAAGCCTCCAGCTCTTAACTTGGAGCTTGACAGCAGAGGACATCTTATGGCATGGTCTGACCTGATCATCAGCCATTAAACAGCTGGGATCTGTCTGACAGCCAAAATATCTTTCAAGTCAGACTCTATTCCTTCCTAACCCTACATCAAATAATACTTGGATGAAGACTGTCAGACAGGCACTGCCACACGTAAATTTATACAAAACCAGAAAGCATGCCAAAACCAATAGCCCTTCCTTGTTATTTGTCCTTACTACAAGTCTCTCCATTCTTCTTTTCCAAACTGTCTGGAGTTACCAATGCCTCAGTGTGCAGCATTCAAGCAAACTGCTTTACCAGTTTCATTACATGGGGTTGAAAAGGATCATATCAATCTTGTAAGCCACGCACATCCACAGCCCCATGAGACACTGAAACACTGTAATATTTAAAAGTATTTCTGATTCTGTTATAAATCTAAGGCTCTATGCAAAGTCATCTTTTGTATAAAACACTAACATAATAGCTACTTCTGAAAATAACTGGTATTACACGTTATGTAATCTTCTGAAATACATATTTTGTTCTTGCTATGTCTATTACCAAATACTTTACTTTGGGGAAATTATTTGGAGATGTTAAAACAAGAAGAGGGTGGGGGGAAGTACACCTGCTACACAACAGTGTGCCAAACTAATGAAACCATGGAGTAACAAAATGCCATTTAAATGCTATTAAAGTTACATAATTTGCATATAAACTTTAATTCTGCTTTTGGAGTACTGGAGGGTGCAAACTTCCAACAGACCAAGAAAAGACTTGAAAGGCCAGACAGAAGGTCTACCCTCTAAAACAGGAATAATTTTCTTTTTTGCAAATCTCTCATGCATTGGAGGGATGAGCAAGTAAGAAGAAAAAAAAAAAAAAGAAAAGAACACCTCTGCCTTCCCTTGAACTTATAGCAGTTACTAAGAAATAACTTCTTAGCTATTTAGGACATAGAGACAGCTGCAGGGCTCTTTTTTCAAGATATGGTGCCCCAAGTGAGCTTCAAGACCACTGCCTGGGTGCCATGCTGCTGTACACCACACTCCAGTCATTCTCTAATGCCTGCGCTGAAGATTGGGAAAGTCAGTCCCAAAAACAGCTTTAACATCATTTAACCCAAACTAGGGGTTTCTTCAGATTAGGGAGGCCACAAGTGTTTATTTTCTTACTATCCAAGTAGTACAAAACCCACCAAGACAAGGCCACAGAGGGAGTTCAAACTTTTCCCATCAATATGTTCTCTTTCAAAAACAGAATACTTCCCTTGCAATAACAGAAGACACCATCATCCATTACATTACCAAATCAGTTAGGTGCCTTTTTTTTTGAGGAGGAGGAGGAAATCAATTAGCATTTCACCTATACCTAAAAAAAAAACCAGTTATTTGATACCAGCAATGAAAAAAAGATTATGCAAAAAAAAAAAAAAAAATCTTTCTAATTAGTAGCAACAGTTGAATTTTCAAACAACACCATAGTCAAAATATGCCCTCTCTAAACTCAATGCTTCTGTATGAAGTCACTCTGCAGCAAGAAATTCTTAAAATTAAAGCACTTAGGAAATGTGTTCTTTAATAGTTGTTTGGCAGTAATCACACTAAAGAAACAAAAAATTATTTGGAGTGGGAAATATCTGTCTCCTTTTCCAAAGCACACCTTTGCTTCTAGTTTGTGTTAGTACCAGTCAATTAGACAAAATAATAAAACAAAACATTTTTAAATACCATAATCACTTAAAAATTACTTTGAAGTCTGTTACTTTATACCAACTTTGCATAACAGGGATAAATCCTGCTTTTCAATATTAAAAAGAAAAACAAGAAGACAACATGTGAAAACCAAAATAGTCTCCATGACAAGTTACTATGCCCACTCAAATGTTAAGACTTACCAAATATCATACAAGCTTACATACCACATTTCCCTTATAACCTTCCTCTCCTCAGATGTTTATCCCAACTACCAACTTCTAGATACTCATACCTCCATTGTTTGGCAACTTGAATTCCACAGTCCTGATTTTCCCACTGTGAGGAGGAACTCTTAGATAAACTCAGTGCTAAACTCAACCATCCATTTAAATGCCAGATAATAAATTGTTTTGCTGCTTCCTGTGGCCTTTTATTTCCTCCCTTTTGATTAGAAACACTTTATTAGGCTAATTAAGTACTGTGAAGCTTAGATGAAAGATTTTTTAGAAGTGCACATTTCTGCTAGTACTTCAACAAGAGAAAAATATAATGACAAAAACACAGCACACTGACAAGTAATTTGAAAAAGGAATTAAAAATAATGTAAAATACTTTGCTCTTGCTTCAAATCCTGAACTTTAACCACATCTGGCTACATATGTGTAGAAAACAGATTGACAGCTGTCACACAATTTTACCTTGGTATTATTATTGTCATCTATAACATACCTGTGTGCTCAGGTCCAACCAGGATATCCTAAATCCAGAGCTCTATTAAAGAAGAAAAGAGAAGCCAAACGGGGTTTCTATCCAAGTCCAGTACCTTTAAATCATTAAATTAGCCCTTTAGTGGGTAATCAAGTAAACAGCTGAAACAGTAAAAACCAAGCCATAAACTAAAGCAACCCTCAGGCTCTGAGAAAGAGCTGCAATATCTCAGCTGCCTGAGAGAAAGAATTTACCCTAATGATTTTTTCACTTCACCTGTTTGCTGAATGTAAAGCTCATTATCCAGGCTTTTGTTTATCTGCTCCAGCCAATCTTAAGGCTAAATTACACAGCTGTTGTGGGCCAAAGCAGACCTTATTAGGTGGTCTCTACTTGATCAGATGATAAGTTAACCAACCTGAGAGAAGTAATTTATACTAAATAAAGCTACTGTATGCACTTTAGAAGTTCACTTCTGAATTTCTCTTCCCTTTCCTGAATTCTAGTCCAGTAATTTTAAGTGAACAAATCCTTAAAGACATCAATGAAAATATAAAATATTAATCAATCTTTTGAAATAGGGATAAAGTGTTTGTTATGAAGATAAGTTCATCTTCAATCTAACTCATACACCTTAAGCATATGTTTGAAGAATTCTGAGCCTAAAAAAACTTAGGTCTACAGACATCAATCTGTGAATAATGATGCAAACCCAACCAAGCTAATTAATCATTTTATACTCCATGCAGCAATGAGAATAGAAAAGAGTTGCATTACATATACTTGATCAGATTCTATGTTAGAGAGTCCTCGAGTGTATCACATTAGATAAAACTTTGGCACTAGTTAGACTTCAATTCTACTTAAGTAGAATTTGAGTGTAAGTTGGAAAGTGAATGAGTAACCTTACCTAAGCACATTTGACTGCTATATGTAAACGTGTCATACACTTCCTATTATGTAAAGAACAGAAATTCTTCACTCCAAGTTTTTGTTATAGTCTGTGGCTCATAAATGCATTTTGACACTTTTCATCTCTGTAAATTTTAGCATTCCTCTTGTACTGTTTATTGGTGATGAAAACAGCTAATGTATTTCCTTTTTAGCTCATCTTTTTCCACAATACCTATATTTTAGCAGTGGTTTGATGAACAAAAGATACTGCTGTTCTTATTAATCCCTGTCTTTTCTTACAAGTAATCTCATTTATATTTCTTTGTAAGATTACACCAGCTGCCCAAAGTCACCCTTAACATGAACAGGATTTAGTGGCATACAACACAGAAAAAGAGATTACTTCATACCACTGAACAATTACTTAAAATGTATTTACATGTCAGCAAAATTGCTTTTTTTTCATAAAAAGAGAAAAAATTATTTAATCTATTAGGAGGACATCCTATGGCTTGTTGGGAACTTTTATATTCTGCATGTTTTACAGCTGGTTTTCCAGTATATGGAGAATTTATATTGCTTTATTCTCCCGTCCCCTTGTTTAAATTACTTTATATCTCACTCTTAAAAGAAGTAGACATTTCTTTCAAAAAGGCTATTGAAACACAATAAAGACATTCATCACCTATTTCTGTTGAAAAAAAAAATCATGCTAATGCTTGAATATGCAAGTTTAGTTTTGGAAAGTACTACAGCAAGTACACTTTGATAAATATTAAAAAAAAAAAAAAGAAAAAATAGATTGGGAGAACTATCCACTACTGAAGTGCAGTTTTTATACTGCTGTATTGGTTTCCAGGTCTTAATATTAGAAACTGTACTTGGAGTTGTGCTCTCTGCTTTAGAAGTACCTAACAGCATTGCAGTGTTTTCCCAAATTTGCTTTTTCTAGCAATTTGGAAGGCAATTTTGTTATTTGATAAGATGTCCATCACTAAATTCATCTGAACACACATACAGGCACCCCTCCCAAACACACAAACACACATGTACACACATTGATTTTACAAAAGTCTCATTTTCCTTAAGCAAGTAATCACAACACTGAAAATATTCTCCTATGTGTTCACTGATTTTCTTAAATGATTTGTCACCACTCTGCCACTCAAGGGAGATGGTTATTTCACTCTTCTGAGAAGCTAACTATGTTCAAAAGCAGCTAGATGAGGATGGTGATGTGATATAAATTCCAAAAGAAAAATGCATTGTCCATCCATATAGCCGTCCATCCTGAGAAACTTCCACTGCCAAATTCTTGCTATTTGCCATTGGTCATGGGGTTCCCATCAATAAATAGAAGGTCAGTGCAACAATGAGGAGCAAGCAGAATGGAGAGGAGAAGGTCTGATAGGCAGCCGAAGGCATGAAAATATCTTCATACTTGTAAATGCTGACAACGCGCTCTGACACGGGTGGGGAGTCGATATCATGACGAGTTATAGAACCTTTAGCAGGTAAGGGCAGAAAGAAATAACATCAGATGCAATTTTTTCTATAACTCTGCTGAGGAAACAGGCAGGGAGTTAATTTTCAAACCTATGGAAGCATGCAGTATTACACTGTCAGGGAGTACAAATGAAATTCAAGTAAACAACAAACATCCTTCAAACGAATTAAGAACTTCTAGTTATGAAGTTCTTCTAAATTCAGCTTTAAGAAGTGGGAATAGTAGATATATATCCAGGAAAACAAGACATGTCCTGTCTTTCTTTTTTAAGCCTCATGCTGCCAGAATTTTAGTTCTTTAAAAATAAAAGTGTGGGGAGAGGGTGTATCTAGTAAGAATCACGTAATTGAAAGACATTTATCAATTTTGGCACTTCAACTCAACTTCAAGTTGGTGAGATCAACTTACCCTGGATTGCTGGGCCCCAAGCAAACAGGTAATACCAACTCAAGTGCAAATCCACGATGGTTTCTTCTCGGGGAACATAGACAGGACGCTTGAATCGACACGTTACACGGTTGTTTTCAAAAACCCCCTCCTCATCCCTAGCAGGATTTCTCTGGATTTCTTTAGCCCACTGACCAACATTGTAGAAGTGTTGTATTCGGACTCTTCCGTTGTCATCATGAACACAAGCCATGACATCATCTCCTCCCTACAAGGTTAAAAAAAATTTGAAGATGGAAAACAAAAGGGTCATTAAACACTTCCTTGTTTATGTATATAATTTTAATTATTCAAAGCTAATCAAGACCTGGGATGCTCTTTCCTTCTTTCCAAGTTATATATACACAAATATTTGTATCCCTAATCAGGTGTCTTCAGTAAGATTGAAAAGCATGTTAAGCGGGTAGCAATAACCACATACTGTTACTGCCTGTGAATTCTCTTTTGGATCTTTCTAAGAGTTATTTTACTTAACATATATTTGTAGGATATGATATCACACTGACATCACATAATTAATTGATCCATGGAAGGCTGTTATTTGTGAAATTCTGGCATACTGCTTCATAAAATGTTGCAGTCTTGAATCCCTGATGTGTACAAAATCCACTGCATCAAATCATGGACATAAAACCAATAAACTTTAGTGAGACAGAGGAAACAAATCTACTACATATGAGAAAATAATAGCATTGATTACAGTAAGTCTTTTCTAATCTCTTCTCATGTTCACTTAGGTAACATCATTTCTCATAACTCTTATTTCTTATAAGAAATGTTGTAATAACAGAATACAATATACCACAAGATACAAAGAAAAAAAGCAATCAATATGTGCTTCTTCACTTAGCATAAGCAGCCACCAAAGAACCAAGAGACAGAAGGAAGAAGGAGCCACTTATTTGTAAAGGAAATTCATGGAAATACTAAAGGAGTTGCTGGAGTAGTTACTCAAGGTGGCTGACAGAGTGGTAGAACACAGGGATGAGCAGGAACTTCAGGAGCACTATCTCATAGAAGCCTTAGCACCAAGAGCCATCAGAGCACTATCCAAGCTGGATGAGTGCCACAGCTATCAGTGCTGTATTAAACACAGGCCCTGCTCCTCCCATATCCTTATGATAATGTCATACTGATGAAAGACATGATGCTTGCTACTGTGATCATCCCTTAGTTCTTTATTACAGGCAAAAGAGAGGAAAAGTGTATTTCAGCACTATGGGAATATTGAATGGTGCATTTGTAAAAGATGTGCAAGAAGTGGGTGGAAAGAGGGGACAACTAGGTAAAAACACATGCTTGAACAGTTTCTGCACCTTGGTGCTGCTCCAGACCTTTCCAGTCTCTGTCTTGAGACCATCACTGCTCTCCATAACTTATTTCCCAAGTTTAACTTTTATACATCTAAGCACAAATCCCTCATTCTTAAGCACAAAGAGGCAAAAATAAAGGTGTTTTTACACTGAAGGAAGAAAACTAAAAAGGAAAGAAAAAGGCATTTTGAATCTCAGTTAACAGAATGACATTTCAAAATCCTGCCGAGACACAAAAGCCTGAAAGTGGAAAAGCATAATGTTACTTGAGACAAAGAAATAGGTCATAGAACTTTAAAAAAATCCATTGAGGACACAAAATAGGGGTTTTTTTCCCTTAATTTCTAAAACTATCCAGGCCACACCATTTTGATCAGGGCCTCCAAAGCACAGCCCATTTCTCAGAGCTAAGCTGTTTTGACCCAGAGCTATTTTATCATCAAAGCCTGTGCATCCCAGGACACCAAAACATCCTGGAAGTTATGAAAAAGATGAAGTCAGCAGGAGAGCCAGAGAGGAAGAGAGAGGCTAGCTGGTTAAGCCCAGCTGGCTTATGGGCATTATATGACATGTGGAGCAAATTTGGAAGCAAAACCTTTTACTTTACAATTCTGTTATTCTTTTTACCAGAAGCTCAGACCTAACCTGCTGCTTGCTGTGCCTGCTTTCCAAGTGGCTGATGAGAGGAGAGCAGTGGGACCCTGGGGTCCTCTGCAGGTACCTCAGAGGTACAAACTGGAAACACAATCTGATAGTTTGGGGACAAATACCTAGAGGTGCTGAGCTGCTTTGAAAACCCTGTCGAGTACCTGCATTGGCAAGCTTCTAAACTCTTCTCAAAATTTGGCTGTAAAGCTGTTCTTTACACCAAAACCACAAACTGTTTCTTGTGACATGAACTGTTCTTTATGACACAAAAACCTTCTATTGTCTTGTGTTTATTTACAGAGTCATATTAAAACATATCTAGTAATGCCTGAGAAGCACTTGTCCTCACATTTTCTTTCTATTTCCCATTTTAGGTCAAATGATGCCTTATGTTTTAGCTTTCATATTTTTCAGATTCTGTACTGCATTAGTATATAACTTTGAACTTCATATAAAGTGTTAGCAAATTCTCTTCACAGCTTAGTTAGACAAAACAATCCTTTTCCAGCCAAGAACCAAGGACATTGTTGCAGCTTCAGGCCCAAAAATTGTAAACAAAAATGAATTGAAGAGAGCAATCTGGGAGGATGTGACTTCATAAAACTTCTGTTAAGTCAATGCAAGTCTTCCAATTCATTTTTTTGTGGGTCCTATCCCAGGACATCTAGTTCCTGTATTTTTTCAGACTGCTACTTTCAACACCACAAGAAACACTCCTTTCTTTGACTTGTGATTTAGGACATAGGTCCAGTATTGTTCTATAAACTCAGGAGAGTTTCTGTACATGAACACCAATATTATAAACTGCATTTTAGTCCTAAACATTTTAGTAAGGATCACAGACAAAACATCTTTGCATAAGTCATCAATTGCCCACATTTTTTAAAGTCTACATATTACATGCTTTTGTTTTGCTCATTGAAATTCAATGAAAAGTGAAGCTTTTAAATTAAAAAGTAAATACAGGAATAAGCATAAAACAGAACCCAATAACAATCCAGAGGAGAGAGAAGAAATTTTACCAAGACTGCCTTCTTGAGTATAAATGTTTAAATTAGCAGGAGTCATTTTCTCACACATTTGTGGCTTCTCTGGAACAACACATGGGTATGAAAGAAACCAAAAAATTTCCCAAGTTAAACAAAAGTGAAATAAAAATTTATATTGCTGAAAGTCAGCTGATTTTCTCAAGAATAAAATTATTTGCTATTCAGTTTATGATGTGTCTTTTGCCCAAATTACACTGGCATAAAGCGCAACAGGACATTTCCATGTGAATTGGCTTATCCCTGAGGGCTTTTCTAATGAAAAGGCAAAAAGCTAGTGACATTCAAACATTCAGAGCTGAACTGAAATACTGTTGCAGTTCTCAGAGAAGAAGGGAAAGGAGATGTTAGGAAGGATGAAGCAGTTTTCTGTGAGGCAGTGCTCCCAGGGGGGCTACTGAATGGTGCTTTGTTTTCAGCAAGCCAGTTTTACCTTACGTGCTCTGTTTCTCACCGATCAAATATATAAATGTACATAAACCATTTATATCCCAGCATGTGAAAGTTTGTGTTTATTGCCAACATGAAAAGCTGTACATATCTTACCATTTTCTTGTCTGAGGAAAATCCCACTGCCACCCAGCCATCTGTGTCAGCACTCAACTCAAATTCAACATCAGCTCCAATTCTGCGGTAACTTAGAAAGTAGTCACAAGTCTCTGCATTGCATCCAGGCTTACCATACCTAAATGGAATTGGAAATATACATAACTTTTTCCTTGAAATTTCCTGCTATGGAACTTAATTAAGGCTTTGCAAAAAAAACCTAAAAGAATGTATTTTGGCATAATGGCAGTAAAGCATATATTCTTCTGGACATAAAGTAGCATTAATTTTTTGCAAGTATTACTCTTTTAGTGTATAGTATTCAAACAGTACAGCAAACAATAACACAAAATATTACTGTTGACCTTCTTTGCTCTGTTTTTTGAAGTACTTTATGAAAATACAAGAAAGAACTGTAGGTCCATAACTATGACATGTATTCTTAAATAAACTAATGCCCTCAAATAATATATGATCATAGCTGTATGGTCTTAAACAACAAACATTTATTAAAATTACTATGAAACACCAACCAGAGTCTCCAATATCATCAGTCAGCATCTGTACACATAAAGGTATCTAGACTCTTATCTCAGACTGACCTGAAGCATCCCTTGGTTTTTCCACAGTCATCCACTCTGATTTTTGCGAATGGGTCCACAGGAGGAGCAGTAGGGAAAGGGTAACCTGCATAATCAGAATAAACCCTTATAAAAATACATAAAATACAAGGACTAAAAATCAACAATACTAAAGAGCAGGTCTTCCAGTAGCATTTACTTTGCTGATAACTGAACAGATGAGTGACTACTTTGTCATGTACAAAACCCACTGCTCAGATGGTCCTGGATCCAAGTAACAAAGTAGCATAAATAACTGAAAAGAAAACTTTTCTAAGGTTTCCTACATTCATCAAGGAGAGAGAAGAATGCTGGAGAGCAAAAGTTAAATATAAGGCAACAGGATCATGGACTATTGCAGTGCACTCTCTCCTTGTGCACTCATAGTTCCCTCAGGAAATCCGTAAGGGAACTGAGTCCTTAGCCATAAATGACAGCATTAGGTATAAATGCAGGCAGGGCACCAGATACAAAGCTGTAGGAACTGATACTGAAAAGACCTTGTAATACATCCTCCTTTATGAAGTAAAATAAAACACACATTGCAGTAAAAGGTAAGAGAGTATCAGGGCAGGGAATTGCCTGAAGTTATGGCCTTCAAACACTTGTGATGGCAGAGCCAGAAGAGCCAGACAGTGAGAGTTATGATTCCAAGAGATCCCTTCTGCTGGATTATAGTACCAAAGAAAAAGTGAGAAAGTTTATTAACAGACCTATTCAGCCTTGGGTTGTGGGAGCTGGTGTCTGTTGCATAAGCACAGATATTTTAATAAGACGGTTTTTTTACTTAGCCAGATAAAAACCAAAGTGCTAGTTGTGGAACTAGAAAGTCCTCTGAAAACGCTTCATTGAGTAGGAAAAGTGCTTCATTGAGTGGGAAATGAGCACTACAGTTAGTTCCAGCACCAGCACACAAATTTTGACCTACACAACTTAGGGCATTCAGGAGCCCTGATTTACTTCCCTAGATTTCTGACAATGGTAATGGAGAAAGTATGCTGCTGTAAGCTGCAAATCACAGTTACACTAACTGTATCAAGGGCAGGTAAATTACCCTGCATTAAGAAGTTTGCAGAATTTCACAGCAGCGTGTAGTGGTGCATTACTGAAACACGGGTCACAGGGCATGCAATTTTCTCACTCCTTACTTATTTTCAAATCCATTGAACAAATGGTTTTCCAGGCAGCCTAGCCGCAAAAGCGGTGTTTTAACATTCCACCATTTGTAAATTCAAAAAAAACCCCGCACCAAAAACGCACGACCACGCTGCTTCTTGACACTTTAGGGCATCGCACGTCCTTTCGAAGCCCTCACACCCTAGGACTCCTTTTTACGCCACCAGCCCGGAAAGCTTTGCAAGAGGGGAAAGCGAGGGGCCGCCGGCTGGCCCCGCTCTGCGGGGAGGCGACGGCCCCCGGCCCGAGCTCCCGCCCAGGGGCACGCCCGAGCCTAGGGATGCCGTGTCGGGGATGCCGTGCCCGGGGATGCCCGCGGAGCGAGGCGGCGGCTCTGCGGAGAGCGGGGCAGGGCACCCGGACCCCCCTGCGGCCCCGGCCCCGAGCGGCAGCGCCGGCTGAGGCGGCCGGGCCGGCGGAAGATGGCGGCGGGCGCTGGCCTTCGTGCTGAACAGCGCTGCCACCGCCTCCCGCCCGCCGCGCCCGCTCCCGCCCGCCCCGGCCCGGCCCGGCTCGGCCCGGCGCTCCCTCCCGGCCCGGGCCCCTCGCCCGCCGCGCCCCGCCCGGCCCCGCCGCCCGGCCCGGCCGCCGCCGCACCCTCCTCTGAGAGGTAGCGCAGGTCGTAGAACTCGCTGGCGAAGGTGCCGTACGAGGAGTCGTGGTGCCGCGCCGCCTCCTCGCCGTGCTCCCCGCCGCCCGCCTCCCGCCGCCCGCCGCCCTCCTCCGCCGGGCTGGCGGCGGAGCCGGCCAGGAGCAGCAGCAGCAGCGGCAGCAGCCGCCGCCGAGCGCCGCGGCTCCGCTCCGCCATGGCGGCGGCGGCGGCGGCGGGGCGGGGAGGCGGCGGCGCCCGAGCGCGGCTCCGCGGGGGAGCGGGGGCGGCGGCCGGGGGGGATCCAGCCCCGGCACGGGCGGTGCCGGAGGGACCGCGGCGGTGGGCGAGGAGACGGCCCGGGAGGGTGCTGGGGGGAAAAGGTGTCGGGGCGGCGTGTGCCGGGGATGCGCGGGGGAGCGGCGTGCGCGGGAGAGGGATGCACCGAGAGCGGGATACGCCAGGAGAGGGATGCACCGGGAGAGGGATGCACTGGGAGCGGGATGCGCGGGCGGTCACACGCACAGCCCGGGCAGCACGGAGCCCTCCCGCAGAGACCGCCGCTGACAGTTTGCGCGGTTGTGGCCTTCCCTGGATCACTGATTTCCCGCATCCCACAGCGCGCCCCACCCAGCAGAATCCCCGCCGGCCGCGGACACATCTCGCACAGGCCGGGCACAGCCGTCGAGGGGCAGTACCCAGCCATCCCTGGCTGCCCCCGTGGCCTCGATTCACTAAAGCCTCTTGGCATGTGCTTCGGGAGGATGTGATAAATCCTGCTCAGTAATTGCCGGGCAAACTTAGCTGTTTTCACTTTTTTTTTTTTAAATTAATTTATTTTATTATTATGATTATTATTTCTAATGACTTCTGGGATGGGACTGGAGACACAGCGCGACTTAACATTCTTTTCAGGTAAAACCCCATGGCAGCGAGCGTTCGCTATCTGATTGCATGTTCTTGCTTAGTATTTTATGCAATGTAACTGCAGAAATACCAACGTACTCCAAACCCAGCAGGACTGAAGGAATTCCCAGGTTGCCCCAAAATTGTCTTGGGCTCTGGTATCTGAAGCTGGACTTGCAACTAGGTATCCACGAGTTGATGGAGGAACCATGGGCTTTCATCCCTTGCCTTACTTGGGTTTGGATTGCTGTCTTTTGGCTATAGCTATAATTTTATTTTTGTGTTATTATGCGTGGTCACACTTCCTCCTCTGAGAGCCTGGAATAAAATTTGGGAAAACATCGGGGGGAGGGAGAGAGAGAGAAAGAAGAATGCACAGCAGTCTGTAATATTCTGGAAATTAAAATAACCCTCCATTTAAATATTTTCTATTTGTAGTATCACTGACTGCACTGAGTTACTTTTTGGTGGGGCACTGAGACTGCCCAAGACCTAGGCTACATTAGGGATCGGTTCATTCCTGTGGGCTGAGCGGTGACTTGTCATACTGGAGTGTGCTCAGCTGCATCAAGTGGAGGATGTTAATCCACATCTCCATGGTTTAGTCTGGTGGAGTAGCATGCTATTTCTCACTGCAAATAGAGGAATAGCCACACAGAGGAAGAAAATAAGTTGCAAAAATAATACCAGTTGCATGCAAATTCAACATGTTCCACAGTAGCATGTGGAAAAAGCTATAGGAAAGCAACAGCAAGCTCAACTGCAAAATATTGAGTCCCTTCTCCCTGCCCCACTGAGCTTGGCAAACTTAAGCAGGCTAGTGGAAAACAAGCAAACAAATGGCAATAGAAAAGCCCTTATAAATCAGGCTAACAGGAAAGTAAGGCTGCAGCTTCTTCTTTCTGGCAATAATTAATTTTGATGAAGGCTCCCCATCTCCCTTTTTGAAATAGCTAGCCGAGGGTTGTGGTGCCTGTGAAGAAGCATTTGCTCAGCAAGGGAGCAGCTGTCAGCTGCATGCTGGTTTCTCCTCCCTGGGAACAGGCTTTAGCACACTGTGATATGGGCAATGCTTCACAGTTATCGTAAACACTTAGGATATTTGTCATGTATTGTTTGTGCCTACATGACACCTATCATTTTAAATCTGGCAGCTGAGATATCTCTCTGTGATTACAGTGGAGCTGCACTGATTTTCTAAAGTGAAGATATGGCTAAGAGACTGACCTTCCTCCTAGTAAATCCTTAAAAATTAAAACTAAAATATTCCTGAATTTTTTGTTGCTTAGTAGAAGCTCTTGTGGTTGTCTGAAGGTCGTCCCTGTCTCAAAAATGGGTTGCTCAGGGAAGCCACATCACACTGAGACAGGTGGAGCTCTAATGGATACCTTCAGTTTTCACCAGACAGAAAGGTCTTCACTGCAACTGAGCACTGCCAGCAGTACTGCAGGAAAAATCCTTATCTGATTAAGTAATTGATGTTGTCATCAAAAAAAGAGCATTAGCAGAAAGAGCCCAAACTGCAATTGCGTGAGCAGCCTTAACCCTCAAATGCCTGAACTCTCTGAATGCCACATTTCTCAGCTTGCACATGCTTGTAATGCCCCTCTCAGAGGAGACACAAACAAGCAATTTGAGTACCACAGGTTGGAAGTCCTCTGGCAGCAGGAGTCCTTTTGCTTTTGCTGAATTAGAGATGTGAGCATTTCCACCACTTCTTGCACCATTGCCTCCTGCCTCAGGGGAACCTAGCAGTCACATTCTTTGGATGGTTAATTGCTCTAGCTCCGGCAATTCTGTGGTGCTAGCACTCAGCCTGTGGGTGTCTTCCCAGAACTGGAGACCAGACTTATCCCCATCTTATCCTCGAGGCTCACTGTGCCTTCTTACTTGCCTGTTTTTGTCATTCACAGTACACCTTTCCCCTGGAGGCTCATGCTTTTTGGAGCCTTTGGACTAGAAATTAAACTTTCAATAAGTCTTAGTTTATATAAAAGACATTCAGAAAAAAAATCATAGTTCTCCTGGTCATTTCCATCCAATCAACATGTACTGAAAAATTAGTATGTATCCATCAGTGCTGACTGAGAAAACAACTCCTGAGACAGCAGTTTTCTTATAGTAAATCTGTAGTAACCTGAACCAGAGTTTGTAATTCATATGCAGTTTTCTCAACTCTTACAACACTCTTGTTCAATGTGGGGAATGTATCTACCCTACAAGTCATTTATCTTGGGCTCTCCTTTATTAAACAACAATAAATTGAGAAATTGTTGAATCATAAGTTTTCATTAGTAGTCATTTATCCTGTGCTCTAGTTAACCATCTGGGACTCTTCAGAAGCATGCTTGTGGTGTTAGTTACTCAGACTAAAACATGGGAGAAAAAATTGTTGGAATTTCTTGCAAGCAGAGCTTTTTCACAGCGTACAAAACAGAATGATGATGGGAAATATGTCAAATGCCAATAGACGAAGCACATTTCCTATGAGAAAAGTGAAAACTAAGTGACTGCCTTAGAAAAACCAAAGCATTACAAAGGAAACAGATGTGTGCTATTTCTGAAAGCAGCTCACTAAAGAGATGAGTGAGCTTTTTGAAGGCATGGTATTGCTTCAGATCTTCTGGAGAAAGGCAAGAAAATGTGAACTCTAAATATGCTATCATCCAAATAAAAACTGCATTAGATCCGTAGATCATCTGTTGCTCAGCACTGTTGAATTTTTCATTTTCTGCTGTCACTGAGTTATGTATCTGGTCTTGCTTCAAGAGTGATTGTGCCATTACTGCCCACAACAGCACTCTTTCTGTAAAATTAATCTAATGTAGGAAAAAACAATGTCTCCAAGCTCTTTTCCAAAAGCATAACATACACCAATCTAAAGACTAAGTCCAGAACTAAATCAGCATGAATTTTGCTTCACTAAGCACTATGGACCCTTCCCAAGGTATATTAAAACTGCAGCTTTGATTGTTTGTTTGTTTGGGTGTTTATGTGTGTGCGTGTGTGTGTGTGTTGGTTTACATCAGTTAGTTTATAACTTTTCTCCCAATACTGCATTTTTTTACCTTCTGGCACTCTTTGCTACCCCAGCTGGAATGCAGTTCTGGGAGGTGTATCTACCCTGAAAACCAGATCTACCAGATGGTGGCACAACCTGCACCAGGAGGCTCTAGAGCAAAATGTTTCACTTTTTTTTTTAACAAGCCCTCATTACAAAGAGGTTATTTATAGTGTTATTCTAATAAGGAGCCAAAACAGAGCGGCCTTTTATTAGAACTTGCAATGAAGGGCATTACACTGAGGCCTCCCTGTGCATAAATACCACTTACTTACTGTGCAAAAGTTGGCCTGGAGAGCAGAGAAATTCAGTTTGTGTTAGCAAAGAGTTCATTTAGGTAGGAAAGTTTTAAAGAGTTTAAGCAGCATTAATTCAATTAATTCCACATGTGACAATGTCATTTTATCCTAATTATTTAAGAATTCAGAAATGGGGAGGGGGTGAAGAGAAACTGTTCTCTCCTGAGGCTTCATCTGAAGAATTAAAATAATACTGCTGTAAGTTTGACTGTAGGAAAACAACCATTTAAAACAGCCTTTCCCCAGGCCAAATACAGATATCTCTGAGTCAAGATAATAGTAATAATAGTAATAGTAATAGTAATAATAATAATAGTTATTATTATTATTATTATTATTATTATTATTATTATTATTATTATTATTATTATTTAATAGTAATAATAATACCCTTCTAGGGGAATATAAGTGAGTGAGAGAAAGCAGCAGAGGAGCTCCTTTTGGCTCACTGCTCTGCAGTGAAGGTGATGCTTTCTATATGTCTCGGCATCTTCAGCCAGGGGATCTGAGGGACATAGGTCTTGGCCCCTCCTGGGCACAGGCTCCTGGAGGGTATGCTTTCTTTCAAGCAACCCATGAATAAACTCCGGGATTAGGGCAGTTTTCTCTGGCTCTTGGAGTCGTTGGAGTGCGGGTGAAGAGCAGCCCCCAGGTTCTGGGAACATGCTCTAAATCTGGCTTAGGGATGGAGCATCCCGGTCACCCGCTGCTGCTCCTGGTGCTGCTGGCCCCCTGCCCAAACACACCCAGCTCTCTCTACACTGATTTTTGGGCTTGTGCTGCAGGACAGGTGCCTTCTCTCTCTCTCCCCCCTCAAATGCAATAACGCGTTGCGTTCCAGCCGCAAGCGCAACTTCGGCGTGTTATTGAGGAAAGAGGGAAGGAGGCGGAGACGAGAGAAAAGAAATGGAGGAGGCAGAGGAGAGTGTCGGCAGGATTCAGCCGGTTTGGGC